GGAATTTATCTTAAATAAACTTTATCATGATAAACGTATGATCGTTCGAGGGTGGGCGTTTGGTGTCGAAGATGCAAGTGAAAGTCGCGTACCCGGGAGCTCGGTTCGGCGCTTGGGGTTAAGACGGGAGAGTCAGCCTGTCAATCGCTGTAATGGACATTCGAGATGGAACAAGATCATGGCCATCGGAATTAAGAAGCGCGCGTGAGAACATCGTGTGTAAGCTGAATTCGAAGGAAGAGGCAACCAGAAGCATGCGGAGTTAAGTCAACAAGGAAGAGAAAAGCGATGATGGAGTCGTCCGTAGGGAATGAGGTATATCAACCCAAACATGAAAGCTACTGCGCCTACTCTGCTCTCACTCTGAGGGACAGGGAGCGAGGCAGTGCCACAGAAGCGAACGAGCTACAGCAGAAAATCACCGGGGTCAAGGTTCTGCCTTACAGGGCTGGATTGCGCCATTCCGCTTTAGGTCTTGGAGATGGGGGTCGAGTTTGAGGCCTTTGCTCAGCCCTTTTTTCTTCTTCAACGGATGCATCATACATGCATGCATGCATTAATTCTTGATCGAGATGCTGCTACATGAGAGAATTACATTTCAAACTGCGAAACACTCTTTTGAGAAATCAGAAGATCTTTTCGGTGAGGCAGCCAAAAAGGCAATCGTCCTAGTAATGGGGGCCGTTTCCTGCGTTAGTCTTATCGGAAGAGGCAGCACTCTCTCGGTACCGGAAGAGTCTAAAATCCGCACCTTGGGTGGTATTTTGGCTGTCATGAGCCAATAGAATAATGGGATTGTTGCTAATGCCTGTCTGTCTATGTAACTGTGCCGCGAGCTGGGGGAATCACACAAATTGGACTATGGGTTTCTGAATCCTTGGCTTGGGACTTTGGTTGCTTCTCGTTTCATTACCGAGGGAAAAGGGAAACGTCATTTTGGGCCTGAAGCTATTCGCACCAGGTCGTGTAACGCTGCAATGCGCATTTGACAAGTCTACATGGGATGACGTACGCGCGCCCTTGGTCCTACATACTTTGAAAATGCTCTTCTGGCATCTTCCAACGGTTTTTGATCGCGTTCTGCATCATTGTGCAAGCCCAGTTGAACTGTGCGTCCCGATATGACAAGCATAGGTAGGTTCATCTGTACGATATTAGTTCCCGCTGCAAGTCAAAAGGAAGGAAGAGGCATCCAATGAATCCTTGACGTTGATCAAACTTGTTTGTCTGACAATGATGATATTGATGCGAGGCTGAACAAAAAACGGTTCCAGTCAATCTTGAAGAATGGTAGTGATCCTGGTTAGCTTAGGGCTGAGGCTGTGAGAACCGGCGTCGATTTTTAGGCGGATCCAAGCCTCGATAGGCGTCCCCCAGCACTGCCCGCGATTTGAATGAGTGGACAGGGGGTGACTCAGAGCGAATGAGGAAGAGGTCACCGAATGCAGAACATTACATTTTTTGAGTAGCACTTGCATACCTAGGTAGGGAAGAATGGTACTTACACACTTTAGTCCTTGACAAGGTTTTGGTTGGTCTAGAGGCGTTTTGGTCTGCAGACCATTTTTCTGCGAGTCCTTGATGACTCAATCGCCGGGGGGATCCCATGATGCAGGATAATGGGTATTGTAACTTAGTCTTTGGCCGAAGGACATTTTCGAGTCCGACGGACAAACTCGCGTAGCAACAAAGGGAACGAAATAGACTCGGGATAGTAAACTTGTTGGTCGAGATGCCTTTTCTTCTTCTTCTTCATGACATCTGTTAGTGATAATTTTAGGGTCATGTTTCAACCGTGGCCGCGTGTTGTCGGCCATTGAAGTCCTAGATTACGTTGTTGCTCAATTGTAAAATCCCAATTCATCTGCCCATGAGTTGATTCTTGTTTTAATTACGGGATTGTCACTTGTCGTCCGTGTCCTGATCTCCCTCCCGCTTCGACACCCGTTTCTCGATCCCACTAGCCTTCCAATTGATTAAACCTGTGATGCTCATTGACTCTGTGGTTCTGGCGGTTCGAACCAACAGTGACTGTCATGGGTGGCCGTGGCTGAGATGAACCAGGGGGGAGTCACCGGCATGGGCATTTTCCTTGGGGGCCAGGACTAGACAGGGATCACTTTTAGTGGCCGCAGACGGTAGGCAGAAACGGCCTTCTCCACCTTCAAGGCTGCCTTCTGGCTGTACTGTAGAGAACCAAGCCTCTGGGAGGGAACACCACCCTTTTTGCAAGTACTACAGGTCTCTTTGTATATATCTTCGAACCGCTTGCGAACCACTCACTTACACCACAACCAACATCACACTACTGCACACACTCTCAAAAACCAACCCCAGGCACCAACACCCCATATTTTACACTTACTCTACAAGACGTACAGTAGAGTCTGGTCTAGTTTAGTCCCCAGGCATCCAATTACTACAAAGTCACTCGGTACTTGGCTTACACAGCTTTCAAACTACCCTTCCTCATTTCTATATAACCCACCCCCATCTGCCACTCTCTCAACAACCAAACAAAACACTCAATTCATCTTACACAAACACTACTATAAGAGCTTGAACTTTTCTCTCTCTTCAAACTGTCTTCTCAACAATCACCTCTTATCATTGAGAACATCGTCCACAACCGTCGTCGTCGAAGCAGCACTTCTTCACCACCTGAGCAGACTATAACAAGAACGCATCGTCTGCCTCCGGTTGTCATCCAAGAGGATCCCCTACAGCGCAACAGTCGCTCAGAACCTCACACCACCGACACAATGTGCACTACAAACATCTACACATACGTCCACCCCGATGGACGCCGCGAGCAGTGGTCTCAACCTACGCTCTGCACAAACTCTCGCCATGGACAAGTCTGCGCCAGCAACTTTCTGTTCGAGCACCCAGTCCAATACGTTCCCGCTCCCTACGACGCTTCTTCTTACCCTTACGCTACTCAACTCCCTCCTACGCCTCAGTATAGTCCTGCTCCCTCTACACCATCGGGTTCATACCGCTCAGGAGATGAATCAGACCGCTCGTACACCAGCAACGGTAGCAAGAAGCGATCATCTGGAGTCTACATCAACGGCCAGAAGGTTCTTGATCTGAACCGTCGTGAGCGTCGACCAAGCTCTCGTCACCAGGAGAGAATTGTCTTGGTCGACAGCCCCCCTACTCCTCGCACTCCTCCCCAGCAATGGAATGCCCCTCACACTGCCCCTGCATCACCCATCTCAAACACATACATCGTTGACTCTTCACGGGACCCTAACAAGCGCCGACCCGTCATCGTTGATGAGCGAACTCTTCAGCCTGACCAGCGCCGTGTCCAAATCGAAGTCGTTGACAACCACCACCGCTCCAAGCACCACCGCCACTCATCAAGCGGCTCCCGACACTCCGACCAAGAGGAGGAGCGTCGCCAACGCCGCCGCGAGGAGAAGCGCCGAGAGGAAGCTGAGCTTCGTCTCCGCACTCGCATCGCAGAGGCCAACGCAAAGATTGCCTCTCGACCTGTCGCCCCTGCCCCTGCCCCTCCCAAGCGCTCCGCTACATACAAGCGCCCCTCCGTCGAAGTCGTCGACAGCCAAGCAGTTCTCGCTGATGAGCTTCGACGCCTGAGCTTTGAGGAGGAGCGCCGTGAGGACAAGGCTCGCCGCCTTGCTCGTCGCGAGGAGAAGAAGGAGGAGGAGGCTCAACGCGAGCGTCTCCGTGAGCGCATGCAGCCCAAGCGACGTCTCACAATTGGCGCTGGCAGCAGACGGCCCTCTGAGATGTACGAGCCAGGAGTGTACCGATATGAGTAAACGATATAGTTGAAGGATTTGGTCTTGTATCACTTTGATCTGTTTTACATGGAGTTTTTGAAGCAAATGATATTTAGCGATTAGACTTGGGATTGGGAATTATTCTGTATACGTTTTTAGGGAGTTTGATATTGGGATTTGGATACCAGTGGGCAAGGCAATGAGCCGATTTTAAGGATTACAGAACACTTAGTTAGATACAAGACACAAAACAGAAGAAAAAAAAAAGGAACTCAGAATGGGTTTTGTTTTTTGAATACTTTGGTTCCTGCTTGCATTATTGTGAATATTTAAACTGAGATGGCTTGATCGGTTGATTGAGAGAGAGGCTCAATGGCTTGGAGGAGGTGAGACACTGAAGCAGGTACAAGACATTTCACATCAAATGTGCAAGAATAGAAAAACCGGCCTGTCTCATGACTCTAGGACTGAGGGTGTGCGAGTTCGGTGTAAGTAGAGTAGGCTGCACACCAAGACATGATGATCTCCTTCGCCAAAATTGTAAATCAACCGACTTCCAAAACACATCACGATATCTAAAGAATTCACTCCTCGGCATCAAAGTGTAAAAAACAAGGGAACCTCAAAACACCGAAGGATCGCGCATGCATACATCGTGAATCAGAACAAGGATAGTCCAACCAAAGTTCTGTTTTTGCCCCCGGGGTGGAGTGGAGACACACCGAAAAACACCAAGAATCGAAAGATGGGGTCGTTTTGGGACTTTGGTGAAGCTTCATCTTGAGTCGCCGTGGAATCAAGTTATTCTGTGAAGATGAGGTTGGTTAAATGCGAGTCGGGGGCGTATTTTGGATCCTGGGTTAATGCCCAGAGGTATAGCATGAATTGCTGTTTTGGTATTGGGAGGCATATTGAATTGAGCAACAAGGGTTTATGAGTGCTTTTTGGGGGGGGGATTTGTCTTGCCGCAATCAGTGGCATTTTAGTTGGAATCTCTCCATTGTCCGATTGCCTTGTCTGCCTAAAAATGTCCTACACTAAGGGAGAGATGGAGTTTTCGCAACCCCGCTCATGATGTGCCGATCGAGACATTAGCCGACAGGGCCTCATGACACCTTGTTTCTCAAGGCACCCATGGGTGGGTAGTTCGCTTCTGGGGCGGGCATATGGCGGGGTTAAGTGACTGATGTACCTACCTGTATGTATGTCTGAGATAGTTCTCCAGTGAGTCACTGTTGATCTATGGCGAGATGATAGCATGTTTGATAGAGTACGTTTTGGGAAATCACCGAACATGCCAAGAGTTCAGCATCTGCCGTCAAGTCATGTACCGACGTGAATATGTGAGTGCGAATAGATTTGGTAAAGATAGTGACAGACTAAACTATCATACGAATGTAAACTCAGGCAGGCATGTTGAAGCCAGACCGTAGCTATATGCAGTAGTGTTGGGACTACTGCTCAGCGGGAGGAAATGCTGTTGAAACCATTCCGATATCATGTTGAACCCTTCCCATTCCCAATTTCACAAATATTGAATCATTCTCAATTTAGTAGTCACTTCCACGACTAATGACCTCCTTGTGCGACTCTCGAAGCAGAATAGTCTACAATCATTAGCATCACATAGCTTTACAAGCAGACATCAACTTACATGCTCGAACTGCGCCGAGTAAGAACCCTTGATATCAGCAAGCGGTTCATACGCTTCAAGAATACCATTCGAGACCAAAGAGTTTAGCTTCATAACCCGTCAGTAATCTTCCCCATCACATACGGTTATAGCACTTACACCAGCGAGATATCGCTCTTGGCCTAAACGCTCAAGATATCGACGACAAAAGACAATAGTACCAAACTGCTCACGAATGACCTTATAAAGTCTATTCGCCGACGCAAATGGTAAGTTGACATGTCTCGGCGCATCATGATGCAAACCGTAGCCATAAATGCCCACCTACACTCATCAGCAACAACCCAACTCACCGAACATGCACACTTACATCGTCGTAAAGTCGTCCAGTGCCGGTTGTACCAAACGTCTCAATGGCAAACACTTCACCTTCCTCCATCTTAGTCTGATCACTGTTCTTGACAAACGGGATCGACTTTCCACCGTGGATCTGGTAGTGCTTGATGTTGTGCGCTGAGATGTTGCGGACGGGTTTGACGGGGTATGTCTTTCCGTTGATTTCAACCTCGTAGCTCTCCATTGCTTCTTGGATTGCGGCGCTGACGTCGCAGATACGAACGTCGATTCCAGAAGCCTGCAGTTGTCAGACATGCAATATGTGAGTGAGTGAAATGCTTACCTTGATGCCGCTGTTGGTAGCATCTTTGACGGCATTCAGAAGATTATCGTAGGTAGGGTCAAACGACATGGTGAATGCACTATCAACGATCCAACCATTGATCTGCACGCCGAAGTCAACCTTCATGACATCCTCATACTTGAGAACAACATCCTTCTGTCCAGGATTAGGCGTATAATGCGCAGTTTCATGGTTCAAGCAGAGGCCGGTCGGAAACCCCATTCCAGCCTTGAGGTTATCACCAGGTTCAATACCCTGATTCCCCAAAAGCGCGCGCACGCCATCTTCAATACCATTAGCGATATCAATGAGTTTATCACCCGGCTTGACGTTCTGCTGCGTCCACTGTCGGACCTGACGATGAACTTCAGCAGCCTTTCGATAATCGTTCAGGAACTCTGGGTCTTCGAGCTGTCGACGACCCATGAAGCGAAGTTCTTTAGCTGTGGTACGAGCGGTGTTGTAATCCTGAATTTCACCAGCGGGAAACTCTTTGAAGAGATCACTCAGCGGGACTCTGGGAGGTGAAGATTGCTGTGTAGGAGCCTTCTTCTTCTTCTTTGGCTTTCTCTTTTTCTTCTTCTTACCAGCGCCGTCGGTTAGCGGTCCGGCGGGAGTGTTGTTATCATCATCGTCGTCGTCGTCGCCCCCTTCGCCTCCCAAACTACCGTCGCCATCGCGGGCAATGTGAGCACCACGTGGCTCTCCGCCTGCAGAGGATGGTTTGGACGAGAGTGGTCCTTGGCCTGATATGTGTAAGTGATATGCTATGTGTACGAAGGGCTATGAGATGTACCATTTCCTCCAGAGTGATCGTCTTCAGATGTCTTGGCACCCATTTCGACATGAACGCTGCTTCAAATCCCAGAGTTGTTGATGAGTGACTGAAGTGAGGTGAGATGACGATGATGGATGGGGTGTTGTAAGATGGGGTAAGCGGTTATCTGTGGCAGAAACGAATATGGAAGTGCAGCACATGGACCATCAGGATCACTAGCTTCGCAATGATAGGACAAGCCTGGTAGCAGTGAATCCTTCAGACACTGTATCGGTGTGCTATTGACGAAGTCCATCGTGAAGCTGTACAGACTTAGGAAGTAGACGGCAATTGATCCCCAGTGGACCCGTACTGTTTATGCAGTACTGACTCGCTTGAATACTACGTCCTGTTTACACGACGGCTATACGGAGTTATGTGGATTCTTAGAACATTCCAAATCGAAAAGCCATGATGGGTCCATCACGCAGCGGGTCTTGGTGGACCCCGCGTAAAGAATGAAGACCCTGATTACGAGTCAAGTAGTTCCCTTGGCTTCGTAGATCGTCGCAGCCACATCGCAAGAACACGTGGGAATGATGGAAGCGATGGACGGGAATATGCTGAAAAGTCTGGATATAAATTCATGATGCACTCCAACATATATGCCTCTCATCCCATAATGCCACGCCTAGACTATGTGCAAGGTAAAAAGCCATGTACAATGCTCGTGCTAAACACCATAAAGTACGGCGCCCCAAAAATAAAAACAAAATGACATGCAGATTCCGTGCTCTCAAATGTCCCAAACCATGATGTGTGAAATATAGGTGAGTAGGGTAAGTAGGTGAGCCAGCTGTCTATGCTGCTGGCTGAACTCCGCCGCGTGGCCGAGGCTTGAGGTTCAATATAGGAACATCAGCATTATCGAAGCCGTGATGCGATGTGCGATCTCTCAATCGCTCGTAGTGTTTCCGTAGTCGAGTCTCACCAACAACTAGTTCGAATCCAACCAGGAAACAGAAGCTTATCTCCAACCTGGCCAGTTCTGCTTCACTGACGCCACCCACCTTAGCCATCTTGGCATGGGGATAAGATAGATCTTCAAGAGCTTTCATGGCAACTCTAAGACCAGCCAGGACTAAACGATGTGCGTTGCGCCGGGTGACAGGGATAGCTCGCTCCTCAACGGCTAACCGGTGTATATACAGTGATGTCGCGAGGTATACTGCGGTACTCATGGGACAGAATTGGTGCAGTCGCTGAAGATATTGGTTGATAGTGATCGGAGGCTCATTCTTGCTGTAGAATTTGCGTGTTATAGCGCTGTGTTGCAAATTGACAGGCTGAGAATCGGCTCCCACGACAACATAAGGCTCTGATTGAGGTGGCGGCGACATGAGACCTGGGTGAGGCTTCAGTCGCACACCATCAATATCCCCCGACTCTGGTTGATTGTCATGCACAGGCTCAGGCTTATCTTTGGCAGCCAATCTCTTAGCCTCAAGCTCAGCCTGTTTCCTCAATTTCGCCAGATTCTTATCAGAGTATGATCGCACAATATTCTCCTTCTCGGCTTGCATGCCACTCATGTGCGGCACGGTAGGAGATTTTGGCGGTGGTGTCGGAGGTACATCGCCCGTTATCCTGACAAGAAGCTCGACGCCAGCGCTCAGCAGAGCGAGTGCTTCTGCTGGTGACATCTCGAAGAGGCCATGATCGGCAGAGGTTTTCGGTGCGGAGGGGTCGTCGGCGATCAAATGAGGATCGGAAGAGGGCACCGGGGGAGGAGGCGGTCGATCAGTCGTGGTATCGGGATGTCGCAGTGGAATTGTGCCGCCCTGAGCCTCGGTAGTAACAGCCGCTTGATAAGACATGGCTGGAAAAAGTAAATTGGGTGTAAAAGCTTGGTCGGTGGTCAAGACACAGAGCTATTGACGCGTCTCAATCTCTTAAGGCGCTGGGCAAGATCCGGCTCGACGCCTTTCATGATCTCTCGTTAATCGAGACGTAGTGGAGGAGAGTGAAGAACAATTTGGAGGAAGTTTTCGTATCACGGGCTAGGCCTGTTTTTGTTGTTGCTTTGGGTCGAGTCGGGCGTAGGTAAATAAATGCTAATCCAATCCAATACCAGCGCAAAGTTGCGACCTGTAGTGGGACGAGAATACCGAAGTGGAGTGGCGGGGCCTAAGATCTCGACGTGGGACCCTGGAGGAGTAAGTGCAGTAGTCGCAGAGGGTCCCGTGAGGGCGTCGAGTCGAGCCTTTATAGTTTATCGAATTCAGATACGGGAGGCATGAGATCGTAACGGTCGAGAGGAAGCGAGCGAGCGAAGCCTGATGATACAAGAGCCGGACCGACTACTTTAGCGTGGCGTTGTTTTAGGTCAAATGAAGGACAAGATGAAGATGAAATGAAATGAGATGAAATGTCCGAGATGAGTCGCGGTCGTGAGACTCGAACTCGCCAGGAAGAGCCTGCGATAAAGAACTCTAAAGAAATCAGATCAAGGATCAAAGGAGAGGTTGCGAGATTAAAAACAGAGACTGTTAATGAAGTGATTTGTTTGCTTTTGTTGACTGTAGGCAATATTGTAGGTATCTGTCGGCGGCTGCCCAACCCAAGAAGGGACCTGCCCGCACTTGCACCCGCTTGCACCTGCACCAGCAGCAACTAGCCGCACCTTCCTCCCGAGCTTCTTTTTTCATGTCACGAGCACGTGGTGCGGGGGGGAAATAAGATGATATTTGACTCAATAAGGTAGTCGAGTCTATCTAGCACTGATCAGCAAATGCCTATCGTGATCAATTCCCATTTTTTTGCGTCTTCTTTTTCTTAGTATCGAAAAACTAATCACCTTCTAGTCTTGAAAGTGGAATGCAACGGTACCAATCTTATCAAATTAGGTCCAAGCCAGGACATTCACTCAGATTTAGCCTCCGAGATGGATGAATGGTGTTATTCCACGGTAGACTCCGCATATGAAAGCAGCGTATTTATCGTGTTATCCTGGCAACATTGCAGTAAATACGGGGTATGTTTACGCATGCGGATATATAACCCACTCGTTGAGGATCTAGACCAAAGGGTCTTTGGGTTAAACTACTGCATGACCAGCAGAGGAGAAGAGCCGCAAGAGATGATGATCTTCTCTGCCAAGGCACCATTTAGGCGTCGTCTGATGTTTTTCCCGGCGTCTAAACACGGCCACCCCGGATCTGGGCTTTAAGCCTGCTGACCTATCTGCATGAGAAATATCAGAAACTCCATCAGTTACGCGCCATTGCCACGATTTCTCTTTTCTCTTTCAAATCACACAATCTACGACGAATAATTGGTATCATTCAAACAATTCTGGTGGCGATACGACGAATCACTTACCTGTCCTGGCCAAGTAAATACCACAGAAACAACCTCGGCATGCCCAGTTGCAAAGAATAGACTTATAGAAAGAGAAACAAAATTAAAAAATAGTATTAGCAAGGACATAAGAAGACTTTCAACAGATGTTTCATACCCAATTGTAATATGTTCACAGGATCAGGCTCCGATACTTGAAAGATGCACACTTACACACATACCCTACACTCCCACTTTACCGCATCTCGATGGAAAAGAGCTACTTGACCTGATACTGAAAACATGTCGCAAGCGCCCTCTTATCCATCGCCAAGTCTTGAAGAAATAAACAACTCAGTTGTAGGCAATTTGACATATTTACATTAAGACCCATGATACCAACATGAGAAGCGACATTATTGCTCACTACTTCTTAGCCCAGACAAAGAGCATCTCTGTACAAACATAGCTCACAACGAACTAATCGTCACGTTGAAGAACATTCGTAAACACGAATCTCAGTTCAAGATCGAGAAAAATATGCTTCAATTTATTCACTGGCTCAAATCGACCCGAGTGCAAATTTGACTAGTGACGTCGCCCTTGCAACTCTTCAAACAGAGGCGATATCGTTGGTGAAGGACATATTTGGAGCCGAATACTGCCAATACTACGACTATCGGGTATGAAGAAGTAAATGGTCCTTCAAGTACTACTAATACTGCCTTTAAAAAGTTCAGAAATGGTGGGGAACAAACCTCATCAAACACAGAGTCGTCTGGCAGTTCACTTGCTCTGGACGAACCCGCGAGAATACCGCACATTGGTATATTACATCCATAAACTAGGGGTCTTTGTGACCGAACTAATGACATTCGAGATAAAACTCTCGATGAAGGTTGGCGTCGCATAAAGAAACATTTACCAAAGAACCTATGGGAAATACACTCCCGAGCAGTAGCGTCAGTGCACATCTTGATCGCTCGTCTGTACGATAGTCAGTGAGCAATGCGCCAGCCATATTATGGTGAATGTTGGCCAAGTCTGGGTTATCTGGTGGAAAAAGGGTTTGTCTAATGTCAATAGCCTTTGGGAACCATGGATATGCCAAAGGTGTCTTTGCTTGCTCTCTTTAAATGACTCCCACTGTTTGGCAGAGAGTAGCGTAGATAAGAGTATCTTGCGTTTAGCAGCACATGAATGCCGTTTCTAGTAACTCGTCAACTTCACGGGATGAAGCAGTCTCTGTAAGATACCTGAGAAAAGTCATTTAGCAGCCGAACGGTCAACTTGTGGAGGGCTTACCAGGCAGCGTTTGACAATAGCTGAACAAATGTACTCGGCGAGTCCCACGACAACTCATGTAGTTTGAACTTTCGAACATTATATGATAGTGAAGCGGCGTGCTGAATACACTTATTGCAGGTCGGCCAATATGGATGGAGGGTTTGCATGTGAATCTGCCTTGGAAAGGCCTCAAAGAGGAGTCGCGAAGCATTCAGAAAGGTCGTCTCTCTGCGGCTGGGACCAAGCCAGTCCCGACATTCGTTCTGAACAAGGCGATGAACCCGATAATTATCAGTGATTGGATCTATGAACCTTCAAAGATACCGAGATGAGACTTTGTATCGCCTCATCAACTCTTGTTCACTCAATTTTAGCTCCCATAAGCGGGTGAAAGTAGCAAATTTACACCCACGGATCATCCCATGGCCCTTCCTTCCCTATCGGGGTATCGTCATCTGGTTTGAACAAATCATCCGGAATAGCATCTGGTACGCCGAAACGTGCAACACCGAAGACAGTAACCAAGGTCTTGTCAAGGGAGTCAAAAGAAGAATGGAAAGCAGTGTTGACTGTCAACCTTTCTTGTAGTAAGCATTTTGAGATCGACCTTTCTCGAACAATCGCTCCGAATATCTCTCAAAGGACTTGATGAACTGAATAGGAGACATTTGTCGAGAAACCATTTGTGAGGCCATGAGATTGACGGCCAACGGAAGACCATCCAGTTGCCTTGAAAGATTCGAGGCTGCTTCTCGTTCCTCTTTTGAATAGTTGTCACGTTGGATGATGGTGAGCAAGAGAGTCGTCCCCTCTTCTACGGTAAAAGGAGGAACTCTCAACGTGTTTGACGCAAGTTGGAACCCGACATTTTCGTTTCGAGTGGTGATTAAGACGGATCCCATCGGAGCTGAGGGTATGCTGTCCGTTATATGATAGCCATCTTCAACGCTTTCAAAGATCGTGAGCCAATGCTTACCTGTTGCTGATCAAAACCACACTAGCAAAAGGTCAAGAAACACTGACTTGAGTTCACCATGGTAAACATTTCATCCACCAAGCGATTTGGAGTCGGCTTCAACTTTGTGTCTTACAAGTCCATCTTTCCCCATGTTTCCAGTATCAAGATCTTCGACTTCTTCCTTCTCAAACATCTCTTTGGGCAAGAATAATTTCCAAGGCTGACTGCGTTGGTCAGGCTGGCTAGACGCTGGTATCGTTTTGAACTGACTCTCGTTTTCTGGATCCATGGTCTCTTGCTAAAACCCTGTATTTAGGAAAATTGATAAGGAGGACAGGGAAACATACTTTGCTGATATACGTTAGGAGAGATAAATAATTAGGCGATCTAGACTAATGGCAGATTATACTTTTAGGGAAGAATACAGATTTTTCCTGGGGCAGAATTCCAAAGGCGATGCTGAATATCTCTGGCTGTGTTGAGTGGGTCATTTGTTCGAGGTAGTTGATATATAGATGGTCTGCTCTATCCGCCCTGGCTGATCGTCCAGAATCGTGGGAGTTTGTAAGGGCATTCAAGAATGCTCTGTGATATCCTGTGACTGTTAGATTGGTTAGCATCTTTATGTTGAATTGTTTGTTACGTACATATTCGGAATAGCCATTCTGCAGTGCTACCATGGGATGATGCTCAACAAATAGACTCGCAATTCTAGAGACACGAAGATCAGATGATATTGGAGATATACCCCTCCCTAATCAGTACGATATTCACTATACCTTTCCGCAGCCTCGTCCCGCTTCATTGTTTAAGTGGTGAGTGTTTTGAAGATGAATCGTTCAGTAAGGATGACCAGTGGCTGCATCCTTGCATTGAAGACTTATGTATGTCAGCCTTCAATTCTGGGGCCGGTTGATCGAGTCGCAGCAAACACCGTAACCATTGTCGCGAAGAATCAGGCTCCCATAAAAGGCAAAGCCCCTCTGACTGAATCCAAGGAAGAACCATATTCACAGGGGAGGAGCTCTTCACGAACCTAATGATCAAAACATTGCTCTTAATGCACCTATGAATGCTACCAGTCTAAACAAATCCCCGGCATTCCAGCACCTAGATCTAAGTCCAGCCCAGAACTCCATATTATCATCTCATCATTCATAAGTCTTTAGCAGTCTGGCGCAACCTTGCAGTCAACCACGGCCGTTTGTCCAGCCTGTACCTTGGCAATAGCCTCCTTCAACACACTATCCAGATCTGATGCCTTGTCAACTCTAGCAGCGTGAATATCTCCACCTGCAGCAGCCTTGGCGATACCAGCATAGTCAGGTACGGGATCGAAGGAAATGTTGATCTCTTCGTTTGTGGCCTTCGATCCGAGACCGTCGGGGTGAACCAAGAGTAGAGATCTGCGAGGAGCGTTCCATCCTGTCACAAGTCAGCATGTTACTCTTGTCATATGTGAGATGACTTACCCTTGTTGTTGAGCACAATGGTCAAGACGGGGATCTTGTATCGTCTTGAGATCCAGTACACGCTACCAGGTACTGTGAAGAGATATGTTCCATCTCCCACAATCTGCACAACAAACTTGCCCTTATTCGTACCACCATTCTCAGCATCTGTCGCAAGCTTGATACCCAGAGCACCACCACCAGACCAGCCGAGACCACCGCCTCCACAGTTAATCCACGATCCGGGAATTGTGGGTTGAATGTTGTCGTGTACGAAACCAGTGTTGGTAACAGCTTCAATGGCCCAGATCGTATCTTCAGGGCAAAGGTCACGGAGCTTCTTGCTAAGATGGCCAGTGCCGAAGGTATCGTCTGCAAGAGGCTCTGCGGCCTTGGCGATGCTAGCGAGCTTGTTTTCGTGGACTTCAGCACGTTGCTTCTCCGTCTCCGCGGCGTTGACTTCAAGTTTGCTGGCGAATTCCTTCTTGTTAAGAGCTTCAGTAATTTGCTGGACGGCTGTCAAACCATCGGCCTTGTAGCGCGCATCGGCTTGGATATAGTGAGTTGGCATTTGCTGCTTCAGGGGGTCAACATCGATGTGGAAGATCTTTGCATTCTCGCGAGGCTTGCAGCGGGTCTGAACCCAGGGTACGTCGCAGTCCAGAACGACAATGGTATCAGCAGACTCAACAGCATCGTCAACACCAAACTTCAGTCCGATCCAAGCGGGATGGTCAGCGGGGAAGCACATGTCGCAACCGCCAGTGTCCAAGACTCGCAGACCCTTGACTTTATCCGCCAATTCGACAAGCGCAGCCGGTACCTTGTGGTTTCGCCCACTGTACCCTGTAACCAGCAAAGGAGCCTTTGCACCAGCCAAAGCCTCAGCGATCTTATCAACAGCACTTGTAGGAAGACCACCAAGCTCAACCGGCTCCCAGTGTTCTTGCTTCAAAGAATAAGGCTTAAGATCAGCCTCGAGGATCTCTCGTGCACTGCACAGATACACAGGACCTTGGGGATCTGATGTTGCGAATTGCAGAGCGCGGTTGACCATTTGCTTCACGTTAGCTCCCGTCTTGATCTCGCCCGTGTATCGGCAGTACTGAGAAATGATTTGTTTCTGGTCTGGTACATCTTGGATCCAGTGGATGTACTCTGTGCGACTTCCTCGGTGTTCGCCTTCTTGTGTGAATGGTGAGAGACCAGCGAATACTAACACGGGGGCGCGGCCTGTGGAAGCGTTGTGAACAGCTGCTCCGAGACCCTGAGTTCCAACATCAACGTGGACGATTACACACTGAGGTTTGCCTGTTAATCGGGCGTAGCCATCGGCCATTGACATGGCCACCATCTGATTATGTCAGTTTTGCCCAGAAATGCTCAACGAAATAGGCATACCTCATTGGGACATGTGATGATCTTGGGGAATTTTCCTTTCTTCTCCCTCTGTCCCTTGACCATAGCCTCAATGATACTAGGATGATCGGTACCCAAGTTCACAAAACAATGGGTGATACCAGCATCCCAGATAGCCTCAAAGAAAGCAAAGGATGCGGTATACATGTCTTCACTTGCTGTTGAGTAAGATCGGTTCATAACTGCTGTGGATGAAGGTGTGTGAAGAGCTGTTGATGCTTTTGAGCGGCTGGCAGATAGAGACAGAGAGGGGCTTTTCCCATCTTGTTGAGAAAGTGATGAGATTGCTGCGGTGTTGTATCTCCTCGCTGAGGACTGAAGCTGTGCTGGACGACATTTTGAGAGGCCTTGAGCGGCCAATCTGGATCTTTGAAGGAGAGCCATGATGAATTGTGTTCTATCACCCGGTTAGTATCTGAATGTGTAGACATGAAGTGAAGATGAGGCTCAATGATGCATGATGGCGGTGTAAGTGCCACCCCCAAAGCATAAACAAATGCCGAACCTCACTCACTACCTCCGATACTTACTTCAGTATCCCAGTCAATGATCAACACCAATCAGATGTGAGGGTGTAAACGAAATGGTTGCTGTAAGAATATTGTAATTGCAACAAGCACAAAACAGAAACAGGCCGGGTTTTGTTGTCAAACTATCGTAACGCCCTTTGTTATGTCCAAGCGGGTCTACACAAATGCCGTGTCTGGCCGTATTCGTTGTGCTCACGCGCGGCAGGTGTGTTACGGTGACAGGATGATGCGGGGTTAGGGAGGGGGGAAGCTAGAGGGTTAACTGTGGAAATAGGGCGTTTTTGACAAGGGGTTCTATCAGTGATGGAATGACATGTTGACATGGGGGACTTTTGACATGATAAGTATCGTAGATGAGGATTGGGCTTCTCGTATATGTTGTATAAAAGATTGGACCACTCACGACTTTGATTGAGAGTTGAGAACTTGATGTATTTGTGTTGAATGTGATGTTACCCCAGATTTTGATGGAAGTCCCCCACTAGTTTACGCCAGAAGATCTAGATACGCGGGGAAATGATGCACTAGAAAGCTGAAGCGGGTCAATCTCATTAACAAGAACTCCAACGTGATCGAGCGGCTCGCGACTACAAGAAGTGGAAACATCGGTGAAGCAATTGATACACCTATCCTATCTGTTAGTCTGTCGTAAGGTAAACCAATCTTGTAACACTAATACCCGGCCTCTATCGGCCCCTCCACGGCATCCGTCGGAGCCTCGGAGCCGGTACCTCACAATCTCATTCCTCATTCGTTGGACAAGCTCTCGTGACAGAATGACAGTTCCTTAATCTCAATAATTCCGCTCTAGTCAGCCGGCTCAACGCTCTGCGGATTTCTGAACACCTGATCCGGATCCCACCTCTTCTTTATCTCCTGAAGCCGTTGAAGATTGTCCGCCCAGTAGAGCTCCTGCGCCGCCTTTCGGTCGAGCCATGCGTCGACGTATCCGGCATAAGTGGAGCGTGCGCCCGGAGCCGACCGTTGGATCCGCTCGTGAATCCCGTCCAGGAGCTTCCGAGTCGCTGCCGATACTTTACCCACTCCGATGCCGTAGGATTGATACATGATGACACTGTCCCGGTGTGGGTATGCTGTTGCATTGACGGGTGTATCCATCATGGCGCCGCCCTCGGTATTGAAGATGATTGTGAAAGGTGTCGATTTGCTGCGAGAATCCTCGAGGTATTGAAACAAGTCCGTGATCGCCGTGTCATTTAGAAGATCTTGTTCATTGAGCGACAAGGACTTAGAATAGAACGCTGTCGGAATGCTGGCTAAGGTGCAACCAGCGGCTTCAGCCTCATGAAGCAAATGACCCATCCAGTTTGTAAGCCACACTGCACCCTTGCTGGCACCAGGAAGGCGAGCAGGGATTCCCGACGCCTGGTACTCGGCCTCTGAACCGAAGAAAGTTCCCGTGATGAGGGCCCCTAGAGGTTGAACGACGAAGAGACTTGCGAAACGTCGGTCCATAGTTGGGTCTCCTACCAATGCCTGCCATTCCTTGTATAAGCCGGCCGTTTCGGTTTGCGAATTAAGAGTAAGATCGTAGCTGTATTGGACAATATTGCCGGGCTCCGGGCGAGTCTTGACCACGAATCTGGTCACGATCCCGAAACTTGCTCCAGCGCCGCGCATTGCCCAGAAGAAATCTGGTGTTCTGTTTTGGCTGGCGAGATAGATCGTGCCGTCTGCTGTCACGACCTCCATTTCGACGACGTGATCGAGAGCACTTCCTCACATTCGAGATATAGGTCCAAGGCCGCCCTTGAGTTGTTAGCGAAAAGCAGACATTGGTTGAAGGAGACCTACTACTGTCAAGTGGCCTCCAGTACCAACACTTGGACAAGTGCCATGGGCAATGGCTCGTCTCCCGAATGTATGAAGATTCTTGTCTAGTTCGCCAAGGCTGGTGCCTGCTCCAAACGATGCGTACCAAGTTTCATTGTCCATCTCGAAGTCCTTGAGGTTGACTAGGTCGATGGACACGGCGCCATGGTCGCCTCCCAGGCCATAGTTGCTACTCATTCAGCTTTGCTCTACACGTTCAAAGAGTTAGCTTACCCGTAGGAGTGGCCTCCAGACTTTGCCTGCACTTTGAGACCACTCTGTTTGGCGCACTTGACAGTCTCGGAAACTTCAATGACATTCTGAGGACGGATGACAGCAGCTGGAATCACTGGGAACTCGAGATTGAACGGCTTCGCCCACTAAGCGAAGAGCGGATCACTCGGGTACGTGACGCAGGAGCTGCGGTTCGCACAGACGGCATCGAGACAGTCGCGGATGGAGATGCTGTGACCGTTGCCCATATTGAATAGAAAATTGATAGAAATAAGGATGCTTCTGAAGCGTGTGAGTTTCTTCGTAGGAGAAGAAAGTGGACGTTTATACATATCCATAAAGATTGTACTAAAATGTCAGGCGGTTCTAGGATGAGGGTCTTGAAGAAGGTCGCACGCGGGATGCCTGTGAGGTTCTATTGGGTATCTCTGAGATCACTCCCGAGGTTCATGTTCCTTCCGTTTTATTGGAGTTGTACAGGCATCAGTTCGGAAGCAAACAGTTTTCATGGTGCCGGCAGTCGCGACCCGATATGAGCCACAACTCGATGGTGTAGGCAGGCCACGGCGATGTCTGTACACTGCATTAAGGCATGCTGCATCCATATGCTATCATATTGAATTCGTTATATTCTGCAAGACTATTGTTTGATATGATCTCATTGAGCACTCTTTGAGAATTATAACGATGTATGAGGAAGCAGTTGCGGAGAGCGACAGAGTCAATGTACTTGCACATATACATCGGTCCCCAAGGTCATTCAAACCCGCTGGGAAAATTTCAACAAATACTAAATCTATAACGACCTCTAAAGAAACATCTCAAGGAAGCAAAGTGTTATTAATAAAGCCCAGAATACCAACACTTCAGCCTCATCTCCAGTCCAGTGCCTACCCTTTCAGGACACAAGCCAATTAGCGATATGCAAAATACAGTTACAAGCATCACACCAAGAGCCATACCGTGCTTGAATACCCTCTGAAAATTTAAGGTACTAGTTACATTTCGTTGAAGACCGACTGAATGTAAGTGATGATGTTAAGGCAACGAGCGATCAGTTAGACAGAAACTTCATTGGCAACTAGCTGCTCGTGATTCTAAAATTATCCTAACTTTGGGGTCTGCTACCATAAGCCTAATCTAAATTCATGTAAGCTTTAGGCTCCTTTAGTCTAGGTTCATCAATCTACTGAAGAGTGCATTGGGTATAAGCTTTCTTGAGCTGCGTATGGTCAGATTCCCTTTACATAAAGGCAAATCGAAACTCTGTGAATGAGATATGACTCACAGAGGCACTACAGATTGATCCAGCATTTACAGCCTTGCTTCATAATATGTCAGCTGAACAACGACAAAGACCTCAACTTCCCTTTTAATTCGGCTTTATCTTCATTTACCATCATTTTTCGCACATCTCGACGACTTTCCAGACAACCATGGAATTTAACAATCTCACGCTCAAGCCTGACTGTCCAAATAACCATCCGTCTTTTGCTTTTGATGATGTATACCGTACCTACAAAGACGATCAAAACCCCGAAGCCCTCTTCGGAAAGGCGTTACGCTACCTTTCTTCCTTGAGAGTGAATCACGCATCGGCGCAACAGGAGATCATCCGCGGCGAGATCATGGAGTCACTTTTCCACACAATTTACGGCAGCAATCGTATCGAACAAGCAGGTCTAGGTTGGGATGTCACACGGTATCTCTGTTATAAGACCCTACATGAGCCCGACTCCATACTCGAAGTCAATGAGGATGATTCAGCCTTCGATGAGAAGGTTAGTGACCTATATACTGCGGATCCCACTTTACGAGGAAAGTCAACAAGTTATATTGTTCGCGGCCGTCGCGAAGTTATCCAGCACGTGAGAGCCTTCAAATACATAATGGACAGATTCTGGGTTCATGGGGATGACCTAATGGAGGATGCCATTAAGAAAACGCATGAGATTCTTTGCAAAGGGGTTCCAATCATCGATCCGGGTGCCGAATATCCGGACGTCCCTTACGAGAAATACGCAGGACAATATCGAGATGTTCCTGTCGGCGCCGGAAATACGATGTTCGTGGTGCCGCAATACGTGCCTGCAAAAATGGCCGAGATGTGCGCGAATCTCAAAAAGCATATCGGCCAAAATGAGTCTTTGGATCCGTTTTCACTCGCTGCCAAATACTCACTTCGGTTTGTTGAGATCCATCCCTTTCAGGATGGCAACGGACGAATGTGTCGTATCATCCTTAACGCGATCCTATTTCGGTATGTCGGTATCTTCATCCCAATTGAGGTGACTGAGGAAGAAGTAAATGAATATATAAACATCAAGAAGAAAGCGTCAAGGGATACGGAAGGCCATGGAGAGTATGCTACGTTTGTTTTGAAGAAGAGTGTGAGAAGCATACAGAAGTTGAAACAGAAGGTCAACGGGAAGAAAGCAGCATAAATAGTCCAGTCCGTGAGTAAGAACTACGATGAGTTCTAGTTAACTAACAAGATGAGATAAGATAAAAGGAGACATGAGATAAGAGATAAGAAGCAAACACCCGGGTCTCAGTACTACTCCCATCACGTCCAATCTCATAATAACTCATCGAATTTTATCAGAACTCACCATAAACTCATCATAATATTATATAATATATGCCTAAACTCATAAAAGCTTAGGGCCGTCACGGCCCAGGTCAAAGGAACCTTAGGGATATATCCATTAGGATACCAGCCGTCGAGGCTCACTGTAAAACCATCTAGATTCATTTTTTCGGGCTCCGGAAGAATTAATACTCGGAAAAGGAAGTTTACCATATCGTGAGCTTGAAAGAATTATTCGCTGATGATAATGATTAACATAACACATCCAAGCATCATTAATTCGGGTTTGTCACAACACCAAGTGAGAGTTTATGTGATTAATGTATTGACTTGAAGATTCAAATTGGCTCGTTACATAAGTTGGTATCTTTCAATAAATCATTAGTACGCCACCATAGTGCTCAATCCATCCAGCTCTCGCTGCCAGTTACGGTGCTGGCTGATGTTGTACACGAACTTCTCTAGGAAGCCCTTAGCATCGGAAGCAACGGTGACAATCTCCTTGAGGCTGTCAGGTGAAGCATTCTTCAGAGTAACGACGCCATAGCTGTCGACGACGCCGCTGCCGTCTGTCTCAGAGAGTGAGACCTCGGGAAGCTGGATGGCCTTGTTGATCAGGTCAACGGCCTCGCCAGTACCACCAATCGCCTTCAGGTGACCGAAAGCCTCGCGGATGTAGTGAAGAGCTCGGCCATTCTTTGAAAGGGTCTGGATAGACTTCTGGCCGCCAGGAACGAAGATAGCGTCGAACATGGTGCTTCGCTGGCCCTCGAGGTGGTGGTCGGGGACGATGCCCTTGGATGAAGAGGAGTCTTCGTTAGCGGAGAAGATAGCGGAGCGTCGGGGCCCGATGACGAAGGGAAGGGCGCTCTGGGCCTTGATTGCGCCGTACATGGCATTGAAGGCAATGGGGTCGTAGCCATCAGCGATGATGATGGCGATACGGCGAGACTTGATGGTTGGAGTCTTGGGAAGGAAGTCAAGCTGGCTCAGGTTCTTAGCCTTCTTTCCGGGGTTGGGCTTGGCATCGATAGGCTTCTTGCCGCCGACCATCTCTGCAATAGTGTTGGCAAGCTCCCCATCAACTACACCCAGACGTTCAGTCAGGCGTTCGTAGACAATAGCTTCATCGCAGTGGTCCAACTCGAAAGAGAAGGCGGCCTGAACGTGAGCCTTCTCGATCTCAGAAAGAGAGTTGTAGAAGAGCTGAGCCTGAGAGAAGTGATCCTTGAACTTCTTGCTAAGAGCGCGCTGCTTAATACCGGCAATCTTTTGCTGGTAGTCAACGTAGGCACCCTCCTGGATAGTTGCAGCGGGCTGGTGGCCATATCGGTTAGGCCAGTAATTGACCTTACCCTTGGAGATAGTGTGTCGCATAGCACCATCTCGGTTGAAGTTCATTACTGGGCAAACGGGCTTGTTGATAGGTAGCTCTTCCCAGTTAATACCCAATCGGCTGAGCTGGGTATCCTGGTAAGAGAAGTTTCGGCCCTGAAGCAAGGGATCGTCCGATGGACCAACGCCAGGCACAAGATGGCTGGTGCAGAAAGCGACCTGCTCGGTCTCGGTGAAATATTCATCGACAACTCGGTTAAGCTCGAGTTCTCCGATATAGCGGACGGGAATCTGGTCTTCCGGCCAGACCTTCGTAGCGTCGAGAATATCGAAGTCGAAATCATGCTCTTGGGATTCCTCCAACACCTGGATGCCGAACTTCCATTTTGGGTACGCACCGTTTTCGATGGCCTCCTGAAGGTCTTTGCGATGGAAGTCGGGATCCTGGCCAGCAAGCTTAAGAGCTTCATCCCAAACGAGAGAGTGAACTCCGAGCTCAGGGGTGAAGTGGAACTTGACGAATCGGCGCTCGCCCTTGTCGTTAATGAGAGTATAGGTGTTGACGCCGAACCCTTGCATCATGCGGTAGGATCTAGGGATCGCGCGGTCGGACATAGCCCACATGTACATGTGAGTTGCCTCTGAGTGTCCCCATACAAAATCCCAGAAATTATTATGTGCAGACTGCGCCTGAGGTACCTCGTTGTGCGGCTCGGGCTTGCCGGCGTGGACCATATCAGGAAACTTCATGGCATCTTGAATAAAGAAAACAGGTATGTTGTTCCCTACTATGTCGAAATTTCCTGCCCTTTGTTAGCTTTGCGTTCATTGAATTAATCTGATGATGCAGTTTCATGGTGTTGTTGTGTTGTTGTGCTCGTAGGCCTTCAAGACCATAAACAAAAGGTTTCGGGCGACGGAAGAAGGTACGAAGGGGTAATTGAGAGAGGGTATCTAAAAGTCCCCAGGGAAGAAAAGTAAAAGGAAAAAAAGGATGTTCTGTTGCACAAATGCATGGGATTTGGTGTGGAGGGGATTCACAAACCTTCTTGTGTGTAGAATTTCACTGCAAACCCACGGACATCGCGAACGGTATCAGCGGAGCCGCGGCTTCCCAAAACAGTTGAGAATCGAACAAATACGGGAGTCTCTCTTGATGTGTCGGTAAATACGCCGGCTTTGGTGACATCTTCCGCAGATTCGAATAGCTTGAATGTGCCGTGGGCACCAGCACCGCGGGCGTGGACAACGCGCTCAGGAATACGCTCGTGGTCGAAGCGATGAATCTTGATACACCATCAGTATCCAAATTCTCCAAAGTCGAACAAAATCTGAACGATCCATATGTGGAGTAGCATACCTTCTCACGTCCAAAAGCGTCCTCGAGAAGACTGGCTCCGGTCTGATCCTCGCTGTTCACGCGCAGCCAGTGATCGGTGTTATTCTGCTTCACTCCATAATCGGAGGTAATTCGAGTGTTCTCGCTGGGCTCAACGATGTTGGCCTTGAGCTGATCGATCTTGTCGTTTCCGTGTCCCATGACTGCGTGTTTGATAGCTCCGGTAACTTGCTCGGTCATGTCGAATCTTGGTCTTTATTCCTGCGTAAACAAAGAATAATTCGCTGAAGAATAAATTTGAAGGATTACGGGTTTCGAGATCTTTTGTAATGTTTCGAGATCACAGTACCCATAAGCTGTCCGACTTCAGAGCACGTTGGCTTTACGTCACACATGCGTTTGTCGATTGAGCTTTCCCCGCGGGCTGGACAAATTGGCAGCTACGATGGGACGACTTGTTGAGAAAAGTCGTCATGTTTCGTCAGGAACAAAGATTATTGACCTATGAGAAGCTCAGAATTTCCAACGAGGAAATATGGAATGCACTTTCTGATGCGATCGTGATCTGTGTTTGGGAAGGAGGTGCTTTTACTGTTACACCAGGAAAGAAAGCTCCGGTTTTTGTATCCCCCACTTTCCGTATCGGTCTGGCACTTGCCTGACCTGCCGTTGAAACAACTCAACAAATGGCCGAGGTTGGTTTGTAATGGAGAATTGATGTGGAATCTTGAGCCTCGATGACCGCTACAATTCTGGATTTAGCAGGGATTGGTGTCTTTCTATGGATCTTCGAGAAGGCGGGTTATATTGATCTTCAGCAAACTATCAACAAGCAAGACAATCCCATATAGCCGGATCGATTTTCAATATTTCCGTGTATGCAAGCCAAAAAGGCTCATTTATGAATTTAAAGTTTAGAATTTCTTCAACATTTATCTCCTTTCAATATCCGACATATCCGTTACTGATATGTTGCTTCACAAAGATCCAAGTTGTTACGTGGGGCAGTTGTCAAAGCGACGTCAACCTACGTCATCGATATAGCATCATTCCCTGCTTGAAACCGCGTCACTATCAAACAGTTTGAGTGAAATCAATGTAGTAAAAAACTGCCGATTCTTCAATCGATGCAATCTCATGGTGCCTTATGTGACCGACATTTCTCTTCCCTTTCTCGGTTTCGTGAATCTCCGTTCAGCTTACCATCAACTCCAGATTTGATATCAAAAACTCGAGATGCCCAGTGAAGTGATCGATCGCCCTAACCCGGCTCCGCTGGACAGTCATCTTCCAGATGTGGCTCTGGAATTGGCACTCAAGGCGCCCAAGAAGCAGCTGGACAAGAAGATCGCCCAATCGCTCAATGATTTCCAGCATGCGGCATGCTACATTGCAGGGTGTAAGTGAGGTCAATTAGTGCGGCGCATGTGGCTAACGCTAAGACAGCCATGATCTTCCTAAAAGACAACGTCTTACTTGAGAGGGACTTGAAGTCAGAAGATATCAAGCCACGATTATTGGGTATGTGAACATCGCTCACTTTGGTGCCTAGCTAATGCTTCAAAGGCCACTGGGGGACATGTCCGGGCATCATCTTAGTCTGGTCGCATCTCAACCTTCTCATCCGCAATTATGATCTGGAAATGATCTTTGTGATCGGGCCCGGTCACGGTGCTCCTGCTGCTTTGGCCTCACTATGGCTCGAGGGATCTCTCGAGAGGTTCTTCCCTCAGAAGTATGGCGTTAGCAAGGATGGCTTGCGAAACCTCATTACCGGGTTTTCGGTTCCTGGAGGCTTCCCTAGGTGAGACAAGTGTTAAACGTCGAGATAAAACCAAGCTAACCAGTTCAGTCACATCAACTCCGAAACTCCGGGATCTATCCACGAGGGTGGTGAGCTAGGCTACTCCCTAGCTGTTTCATTTGGTGCCGTCATGGATAACCCAGACCTGATTGTCACTTGTCTTGTTGGAGATGGTGAAGCCGAGAGTGGTCCCACCGCAGCGTAAGTTGGTTGCATCTTTTCATGGCATTTACTAACTGTTTAGTGCTTGGCACTCCATCAAGTACATTGATCCCGCCGAGTCTGGAGCCGTTATTCCCATTCTGCATGTGAATGGCTTCAAGATCAGCGAGAGGACGATTTATGGTTGCATGGACAACAAGGAACTCTCCAGTTTGTTCGCCGGGTATGGATACCAGCCAACGATCGTGGAGACGCTCGAAGAGATCGACAGCGAACTCTCGGGTGCTTTAGAGTGGGCTGTCAACGAGATCAAGAAGATCCAAGAGGCAGCTCGAGATAGAAAGCCCATTGTCAAGCCACGCTGGCCCATGATTGTCCTTCGAACACCCAAGGGGTGGACAGGTCCCAAGAAGGTTGACGGCGAGTTCATTGAAGGCTCTTTCCACTCTCATCAGATCCCTGTTCCCAACGCCAGCAAGGATGAGGAGCACCTCAAGATTCTTCAAGACTGGCTCAAGACCTATGATACAGCCCACTTGCTCAAGGACGGAAAGCCTGCTGACAGTATCTTGGAGATCATTCCTCAAAAGGATGAAAAGCGACTTGGACAGCTCAAGAAGACATACGACCCTTATCAGCAATTGGAGGTTCCTAACTGGAAGACTTTTGCAGTGGAGAAGGCTTCGCAAAACAGCTGCATGAAGCAAACTGGCGATTTCCTGAACCAGGTCATCAAGGAAAACCCCAAGAGCTTCCGTATCTTCTCTCCTGATGAACTGGAGAGCAACAAGCTCAGTGCAGTCTTTGAGAACACAGGCCGAAACTTCCAGTGGGATGAGTTCTCTCGCGCCCAGGGCGGCAGAGTTATTGAGATCCTCTCCGAGCATTGCTGCCAAGGATGGATGCAGGCAAGTATTCCGGGCTGAAGTCGGCGGTTATGCTAACAGCTACCAGGGCTACACACTCACTGGTCGAACGGCACTCTTTCCCAGTTATGAGTCTTTCCTCGGCATCATCCATACCATGATGGTGCAGTACTCCAAGTTCAACAAGATCGCGCGCGAGACCAACTGGCGGGGCGATCTCAGTTCAATTAACTATATCGAAACCAGCACTTGGGCCCGTCAAGAGCACAACGGCTTCTCTCATCAGAACCCATCCTTCATCGGCTCAGTTCTCAACCTGAAGGCTGAGGCGGCACGCGTTTATCTCCCTCCCGATGCCAACTGCTTCCTTAGCACCATCCACCACTGCTTGGGATCCAAGAACTACGTCAACCTTATGATTGGCTCGAAGCAGCCTACTGGTGTCTTCTTGTCTCCCGAGGAGGCTGCTGAACATTGCCGAAAGGGTGCAAGCATCTGGGAGTTTGCCTCAATTGACAGTGGCAAGGAGCCCGATGTTGTGATCGCTGGTATTGGTGTTGAGGTTACCTTCGAGGTTGTTAAGGCTGCTGAGATCCTTCGCGCCTGGATCCCTGAGCTTCGAGTCCGAGTCGTCAACGTCACGGATCTCATGGTTCTGGCCGCCGAATCCCGTCACCCACACGCACTCAGCCGAGCTGACTTCCTGGACATGTTCACGGAGGACAAGGCCGTATGCTTCAACTACCACGGATATGCTGCCGAGCTTCAAGGTCTTCTCTTTGGACGCCCAGGTCTGCACCGCATGACAGTGGAGGGATACAAGGAGGAGGGTAGCACCACTACACCGTTCGACATGATGCTCCTCAACTGGGTCAGCCGATTCGACGTCGCGAAACGTGCGCTCAAGGGCGCTGCCGAGTCAAACGACAAGATTAAGTCCAAGCTTGACGAGACACTCAAGAAGATTGACGACAGAGTTGCGGAGGTCAAGAAGTACATTCAGGACGAGGGCAAGGGTAAGTAAACTCCATGCACCAATAATGCAGCGCTAACAAGTGACAGATCCTGAGGACTTGTATGATATGCCCAAGTTTTAGAGGTTTAAAGAGGATTTAATGGTGTAATTAAACTGTCTAAGAGTAATTTGAAGACATGAGCGAATGAGACTACGATTTTGCATGATCCAAGCTTTGACCGATATTTCGTGATTGCTGCAACGCAAGACCACTAAGGCCACGGCTTGAGAGAAATGTGGTATGAACAACAAGTGAACAATATATCGACAAGTTCCTTCGTCATTTTGAGTCTTTACACGGCGGCAGGATATGGTCTGTCTCGAAGAAGTCGAACTCATATCCCCAACTTCTGACTCGGCGGTCATGGCTGGCATTGACAAGGGTGCGAGCCAGGGTCAACGTGGTCTAGACTCCAAGGCTTAGCCAATCAAAACGCTCAAATTGACGCCTCAAGCACGATTCAGGCAATTCTGGATCTCGGCCGGAGATAACATGGGCACGACGAAAACGCAGTTGCTCAGACCATCATGGAAGCAATATACTTCCATTGCACCATAAGCCTTGTTTCATTTTTAGGCTTCTCAATAGGCACTCTGAGTCACGGAATCTCTTGTTCAATGTGCACAACAAATTGGATTTGGGTGCGGTCTTACCCTCTGTTTATGCCATACTCTTTCAAGTCCTCTCTCTCCCATAACCCATGATAGCCAAGGTTAAGTATACATAATACAGCAAGTCCTAGCATGATATGGAGCCCATCACATTGCAAAGTACAACTTTGGCTCCTCGTATAAATCTTTCGACTCCTTTTCCTCCTCCTCTTTCTCCTTTTCCTTCTCACCACCCGAATCGGCGGTCCTCCCCTTTTTAGCTGGGTAGTTAAACAAAGGGTTCCGCTCGTCTGTGTCCGTTCCGTCAGATCTTGACTGTCGCTCCTGCTCGAGTTTGGAAAAGTATTCATTATAACGATGTTGACGAATCGCCTCGCGGTTTTCCGTTCCGCCGTTTTCCAATAGCCTATAAAAGGAATTGTCAATGGCGTTTATTTAATGGCACGCCAAGTAGCAGCTAGACTTGGCGAAGAAATATCGCAGATGAGGGGGCAAGGAAGCATCCGTACGAAATACCTCAAGCGATAGTTCATAGTGGTTAGAAATCCAGAGGCAGTAAATCTCTTACATAGTATTCTGATACTCCTTCCAGTCCTTCTCGATGTTTTGCCTTTCTAGCAAGACTTGCCATGCCTCCTGCAACTGGTCTGCAATGCTTTGATCGGTTCCCTTCAGCTGTGTGAGAATTTTGACAGCCTTTGTGGCATGGTAGACTCCCGCTTCGGGGAACCTAGCCATTTTCATGTGCAAGTGTGCGGCATGGTAAAGATTCAGGCCTTCCTCCTCGACCAGCTCATTGGCCAACCTCAATGCTTCGAGAGCATGGCCATCTCTTTCGAGGCTGAGGTAGTAATTGAACATATCATGCAACTCCGCTGACTTCTGTTAATCCCCTGACTTCTCCCGAAAACAGATACGCACCTTGGCGGGTTGTTGGCATAGGAACTGGGGAACTCATGGTTGATACGAAAACGGGGATATGGTTTAATTGAGTAGAGCTGTGGTTAGTGTTATGAAACAAGAACAATGATGGTGATTGTGATGAAGATTATGATGGAGAAGAAGATCGTCCTAGAGCGAATTGTCGGTAAAGACGAAAGACATGAAAGTGCCTTCCTTCACTCTTTGAACGTGTCAAGTGCCAGGCAAGAAGCAGCTGACGATGGGAAACCGAGTACATTCTCGTCTAGGGGATGAGCTAAGCATGGCACCTCAGCATTATGACAGTAGCTTTCTCGGAAAGTTCGCATGTTTTGGTCAAAAGTTTAGCGCTCATGAGATATTCCTATAGGAAGGTAGTTGCGATAGTTTGTCGTAAATCCTCACGGAACATGGGGCAATGTAATAAACTACCCTACAATGGATGAAATATATTACTGCGTGTTAACCGAACCCTGCGTAACCAAGGTTATTGAAGACAAAAATAGGTACATAGGAAATGACTTCCATTTGGAGAAACAATAAGGTAACGAAGGAAGAGCAAGCAGTTTGTGTGTGTCGTATACGTTGCTTGTTTCCTTTTGCATAGCTCTCCACCCCGAAAGTGCGGCCTTTCAAGGACACCAACGTTCCACAACAACTCCCTGAACACGTTCCAACACGTCAAAATCGAGACCCTCTTGACGAAAAGCGACAATAATCATGTCAAAATCTCGTTCAAGAGCCTCGAAAGTCCATTCGGCTTCATCAAGTCGTGGAATCTGAGGAACTGCGTTTTGCGACACGAGAGGATCAGCCCAAGCGACATCGACCTTGCTTGTTTCGACCAAACGCCTCGCCAATTCGAGACCAGGGGAGTTGGCAAGATGTGACTGCCCACGCTTGAAGCCAATACCAACCACAAGAACGCGTGGTCGCAGACCGTTCTTGTCAACGCTGCAGAGGCGCGTCACAGCGCGTTGTGCGATTTCGGAAGGACGATCCCGCATCTTCTCAGATGCTGTCCGCAGAAGAGGAAATCTGCTGTTAGAAAGCAAATACCATGGATTGACTGGAATGCAATGACCACCAACACCAAGGCCTGGTGATAACGGGAGGTAGCCAAATGGCTTAGTGGCAGCTGCGCGACAAACTTCATACGGATCGATGCCATGAGCACCACAAGCATCCGCCATCTCGTTGGCGTAGGCGATGCAAACCATGCGCTGACAATTCTCGTACAGCTTCATCATCTCGGCGACTTCTGGCTTTGACACTGGCACAACGTGATCGAAACTCTTCGAGTAGAGCCTCATGATAGCATCAAGCGACCCCGGGACCACGTCGTCAAGTCCAGACACGATCTTCGGTATGGAGTGAGCTGGTGGCTCGGTGCGACCGGGATCAACGCGTTCAGGAGACATGCCTGCGAGGAACCCACGCTCTTTTGCGAGAGGGCCAAGAAGAGCGCGTGTCATTCCCACTGCCACCGAACTCTCCACGACGACCACAGCTCCTTGGCGACCGTAGAGCTTGACCACACCCAGAGCACTCCGGAGGTATGATGAATCGATTGTTTTGTGATCAATCAGAAGAGTCGGTACTGAGATGAGAAAGTGGGTGACTTCAGCAAGATCTGAAGGCTTGCACGTGAACTTGGCACGACTGCCGGCAGGTTGCTTCTGAGTCAACTGTTGAGTTCGAGCTTCTGATACATCGTATCCAAGTACGTCCTGGCTTTTTGAGAAAACGTCGACTAGATGCTCGCCAACATAGCCGACCCCTATGACAGCAACGAGCGGCTCAGCAGTTGCATCAATTGGCTTTGACACCACGTTGAAGACATCTTCTGCCTCTGAAATTTCACTTGGAGGAGTGATGTCGTAGTATTCTCGACTGGAAATGTTCCACGACTTGGTTTCTGGCTCATGACTAACAAAAGGAAGCCCCTGAACAAGGAGGCTCTCGGCAAGAATTTGAGCCATGATGGCAATTAACGAATGAATGAGGTGAAGTGATAAAAGATGCAGAGAAATCATTGGGGTTCGACGGGAGCATATGTATCATCAATGGACGACTATCGGCTCGTATCGAGCGATCCATCTACACTTCTGGCTTCACAATGCGACCGATGAATCGATAACTTTTCCTTTCCGTTCCAAATTCAACGGCTATACCGTGCGGCGTCAGGCCTCAGTAACCGGAACTTTCTTACACGATACTCCGAGCCTCAAGTGGAAACTTGGCCTACGACAGGAATTGCCCCTGAATAGCTTGCCGCACGAATGCATCTGGCCACGCAAGGTCTTTGCACCAACCAAGATGTGATTGTGAAGTCACAAAGACTGAAACTAGCAACCGCCACTCCGCAATCCCAACTCCAGGAAACTTGCGAGGGCCAATACAGCCTCACCGATGCCTTGGTTAATCCCCTGTATCCTATGCAGGAGTCGACTAGCCTGGAAGCACTGCATCTATTTCAGCTGACGTGCCTGAATCAGCATCCTAGCTCAGTCAAACTGTTGTACAGGATGACGAGGGTATGTCGAAGTTGAAGATCAGTCAATTCTTACTCTATTTCGCGAATACATTTCCAAGGAAGGATATGTCAGCGTACCGGGCCGCGCTTGATCTATTGGAAAGTTTATTGGCTCAATGACTGATACGCATTCTTGCTAGCTTGACTACAGGATCACTAAAAGTCTTCCGTTGAGAACATGATTGAGAAACCAGGGGATGAAGCCTCAACTCAAGCTTGCGGGCTGTTGAGTATCGTTTCCGATGCCAAGACGGATTCACAAATATCCATGAGATTATTAATGCGTTTGACAGGACAGCCTCAATCGTTTGAGGACGATTGCATATGAGATGCTGGCAGTCTATTCACTGTGACACGGTGAAGGACAATATTAGGAACAGATCCTCAGTGTGGGGCCAGAAACTCCTCATCATCCCGACAGCGGAAAATGGAACAGCCTTGAACCTGGCAGGGCTATCTCGCCTGGGATGTTGACATGGCTTGCTGAAGTCAAGCTGAATGATGTTACACAAGCTGACGGAACACGTCAGTTCCTTCCCGACGGGCATTAAGCTCACTGTCCCTGTTTCATGTCCCGGTGGCGGTTCATATTTTTTATCACGACAAGGATGCGAACAGACAAGCGTCTTCGAATCGGTAGCCAACCTTCTGAACTATTCTAGACCTTGTGTAACGATACACGAGAGACATTGAAATGGGACGAATACGAGTATATGCGCCAAGAAAAACTCGGATAATCCGACTGGGAGACGCTGCAAAAGCAAGGATAGCTGCAGGTGACCCGCGTTTTTGGGTGTCTCTTGGGACAGTTTCCTCCATGGCCTTGAGGCTGATAGCATTGATCCTGGATACTGTCAGTTCTTGTCGGTGAATCATCACATTCGAGAGCCAACTCATCAACATCCGTGTCGATGAGAATATTGAAAATCTGAAGACACAATCAAGTCCTCCTGCTTGGCATGGCATCAATGGGTCAATATCTGCAAGTCGAATATTCTTTACATTGTCAAATCAGAGCACCATCGATATGCAATTGCCCGAAGAGAAAACAATAAATCAGAGACAGTGGCCTCACCTGATGATGGCTGGCTTGTTGTTGGGGATGGCTTATATTGATCTCAACGTGGATCCTAATTGACCATTAGGTGACTTGGTATGAGGCCTAGGCCGCCGGGTCAGTAAATTCAACTCGGCTGACGGTCTCTCGTGTTCAAGGTGCAGAGTTTGGGCGTTCAATCCCTCTTAATTTTAAGTTGGATGTTTACCTGGCTCAGGAGCTGCAGTTACGCGTGCCCCACGTAGATAAACTCCATCAAGGCTTCATACAATTACCCATCGGCCGCTCGCATCGCCACTCGTTCAACTCATCATTTTACCTTCTTTCGTTCCAAATATATTGCTTCCGTGTCATTACTATCGCTCAAAATGAAGACCAACCTTCCCGTCACCCTTGCTTCCCTGTTGCTCCATGCAGGGACTGTTCTGTCTGGACCAGTCTTTGCAGCTGATGATCCTTTGTCATTGCGCGATTCGAAGTTGAGGAAACGTGCTGAGTGTGGTCTTGGGATTGGTTCGTGCAATCCTGGATCCTGTTGTTCAGAGAGTGGCTTCTGCGGAACAACCGGAGACTTTTGTGGTGGTTCTGCTTGCCAGCTTGAGTACAGCGATTCGTGTGATACTTTGTAAGTGCTATCTGAAGCTTGACAATCACAGACAATATCTTGTGTCTTCCAAGTCCTCGTACTGCAGTAACGGACATGAAGCTGACATCGAGACCAGTTTCGGGCCTCGTGGAAGCAGCACGGAAGGGATTTCTCGACCACAGCTTGGCAATGTCCCGTATGGTATGTCTTTGCATCAACTTTAATGGCCGTCTGCATTATTAGATGCTCACAGAAGAAACAGGCACTGTCATCACAACTTGCACTACACCCGGTGTGATTGCTCTGACATTCGATGATGGCCCTCTCGACTACACCAATGACCTCTTGGATCTTTTGGATGAAAGAGACGTCCAGGCCACTTTCTTTGTGGCGGGCAACAACAGGGCCAAGGGACATATCGATGACTCGTCCAACCCATGGCCCGCTGTGATGAGACGCATGTACTCTGCAGGTCATCACATTGCCAGCCATACTTGGACTCATCGCAATCTCAACGAGGTCAACAGCACTATCCGAAGATCTGAGATGATCTACAATGAGATGGCCTTCCGAAATCTCTTTGGTTGGATTCCGACCTACATGCGGGCGCCATACCTCGAGTGCAACGCCGCATCTGGTTGCCTGGATGAGATGTCTGAACTTGGCTACCATGTTGTAGACCAGAACATTGACACGAAGGACTACGAAAATGATAGTCCTGCCCTGATCCAAATCTCCAAGGATCGCTATTCTTCTGGAGTCTCGTCCGATTCAGACAACAACCAGTATATTGTTCTGGCACATGATGTCCATGATCAGACTGTTCACAATTTGACTGCTTTCATGATCGACACTGCC